GAAGGCCAAAGAAGAATGGTTAAAATGACTAAATGTGAAGGAGAGAAGTACAGCACTACCAGGGGCAGCCAGATGAAACAGGGAAACTGAGGACCTTGAGCAGAGGACATTCCAAAAGCAAGTCATGGTGCAAACCCTGGCCCTAGTGGCAAAGGGAAAAGCAGCCCCACATGGAGGGGGTGAGGCCTCCAGCCTGGCTGCACACAGCTTTCAGCAGAATATGCCAGAGCTTCATACTGCTCCTGGGGAAGAAAGGGGGGAAAGAGGCTGGAAAGGCACCGAAGATATAGAGGAGAGAAGGACTGGAGGTCAAGTGTAAACAATATGGTCTCCATAGCTGTTTAGAAAGTGAGTTTCTCTTAGACGCTCAGTCAGTACTGGACCTACACATATGTATGTATCAAGAGGAAAATATGTGTACAAGTAACTATCACAATAAGATGCTACAACAGGGAATATGAAAGGTAGAGAAAAAAATATTTCCGGGATCATAAAAAAAGAGAGAGAGAAAGACTTCAATTCTAACTAGATGGTCAGAGAAATCTGCACAGCAGAAATGAAGTTTCTTCTGGACTTGGAAGAATAGGGGATTTTGAAAGGTAAATGTGGCATGGGTGGCAGGATGGCCCCAGGCCCCTCTGGCAGCATGCACTACAATAACAGTTGGNAGAAGAGGTGGTAGCCCTAGGGAGATAGTCCCAAAGCAGGGGGAGAAATGGGACTTTATCCCCTTTGGAAGAGAAGTCTGCAATCCTTTAGCAGCGTCTGCAGTGGGAAGTGTCAGGCATGGTAGCACCCATGTTAAGGATCTGTGACCACTGTCCCAAGAAAGACTGCACTGCAGCTCAGGGGATGCAGCGTGGAACTGTGGGGAAAACTCTGGATCATATGGAAAGGAGACTGCGCAGGTCCAAAGCCACCTCTCAAAAACACAATAAACAAAGACATAACTGAGCTGGAGAAGGCCAAAGAAGAATGGTTAAAATGACTAAATGTGAAGGAGAGAAGTACAGCACTACCAAGGGCAGCCAGATGAAACAGGGAAACTGAGGACCTTGAGCAGAGGACATTCCAAAAGCAAGTCATGGTGCAAACCCTGACCCTAGTGGCAAAGGGAAAAGCAGCCCCACATGGAGGGGGTGAGGCCTCCAGCCTGGCTGC